ATCAGGGTAAACGTTGGGTTTGAAAAGCATGCGCACCACGGTGGGGGCACAACCTTTTCAATTACGAAAAAAAAGCGTAAAAAACCGAAAATCACTGAAGTGAAAAAAAACAGGTAGCAGTTTGCCACCTTATCGATCAATCAATCAATTTGCATGGGTCCTGTAGACCATCTCATGCAAGTGTGTATATGTCATGCATCATACTCGCACACAATGATCAGTAGTCTCACACGAGAGACAAAGGTAGATGAGAAGAACACCGAGTTTCACATCTTATATTATCAAAAAAAAAAAATTACAAAGAGTTCCATAGTTCCCTGAGTCCAACGCTCAACAGCGCAATGCCAAACCACCATCAACTCGTCAACATGACTCCCAATACATCAGCGCTACTTCTGCAGATTGTCTCCAAGTCATCAATGTGGTCACTACTCATTAGCGCCACCTCTGCAGTTCACAGCCAAATCAGGTAAGCATCTTCCATAGCCAAGCCTTGAATGAACACTCCCTGCCTCGGTCCCTTCCTCCTACGATGCATACACTCTTTACTCGTGAGGATCTACTCTGAATACTACTCATAGTTGTCTACTACTAACCCTCTACTACTAGTACTAACTCGTTGGGCAGCTAGGGCTGCATCACTTCCAGCGTACAGGCTTCTTCCCTCACTCAGCGCATCTTTATCCTCCAGCGCTGCTCCTCCTGACTTAGCGCACAAGTGCACCAGCACTTCCACGCAGAAATGGCCTGTGGAGATCTGGCGAGGAATGAGGCTGGCTGCTTTCTTTATAGTGCTGGCCTCTCCTCGTTGGGTCCGCATTGGCTGCTTCAAGCCTTCTTTTGTCCCAGACCCTGCATTGCATGTGTCCCAATGCAGTCCCAATGAAGTTCAACTGTTGTTGAGGCCTTTCGGCCTAGATTTGGACTTGAAAGTCTGGATCTGGTCTGCGCCCCTTAACTTAGACCAGAACTGGGACTTTACCTATTGACTAACTTTCGGACAGGCACATCTTTAAACGAACAGACACACTCACTGCCTGAACAAACACTCCCAAGGTGTGAATAGGCACTCTTCTTTGCACGAACAAGTGCGTTGACTGCACGTACAGACACACCCTATTTCGAACAGGCATGACATGCACATCTCCTGGTGAACAGGTAAGTCTTTTAACAATGTCCTTTGCTTTAGATTTGGATGTGCCCGTTGATAGAGAACTCGACCTTTGACCTGCTTTCACGTTTCTGAGCCCTGACGAGATACCCTTTCACGCTGCTTTACTTTTTCAAGGCCTGAGGCCTGCATCGGGTAAAGGCCCTTTTACTCTCGCTGGCCTAGTTTCGAAGTCCTCTGAGAATCATTTACCTATTAAGGATATGAATCCCTCTTTTTGCACTTTCATATGCAGACACAATATGAGGTGTAGAGTCCAATAGCTCTTCTCGTTTGAACCAGCGATCTTCACTAGGATCCTGGTATGCAAACCTCACCTTATATTGTCGTTGTGGTTTGCCTCTACGTTCAGTGTGGTAAGTACTTTCCGCAACAATTTTATCACGTCATACTTCCCATCCATACTTGGAGGTATCGCTGATCGGCGATTTGGAAAGAGCTCATTTGTTACACAAGGTAAGAGCTTGGACGCATGAAACACTGGATAGGTACGTAGATGTAGAGGAATCTCAATGACATACGAAGGACCATCCACGTCTCCAATTACATCTAAAACTTGCCAAGGCCCCCTATAGGCGGGTGAAAGCTTCTGAGAGATGTTTTCTTCGGGAACAAACTCTTTAGATTTCACCCAAACCAAATCTCCTACAACAAATTGAGACGGTCGTCTGTGCCTATTTGCCTGTTCTATCATCTGATGTTGTGCTTTGAGTATGTTTTCCTTTACCTTCTCAATGTCTTTCTGATACTAGATTGCAAATTCACTAGTCCCTATAGGAAGCTTATGTACTTTATCCGGGTTCAATCGATCAATGGGTCTACGTGGACGCCATCCCAGATGTAACTCCATAGGAGTCTTACATGTAGATAGATGTACAGAGTTATTATAGGCACTGGCAACTTTAGGCAGATGTTCATCCCAGTCAATCTGATCGGGACGAATGTACATACGCAAGGTTTGTTGCAATATCTTGTTCATCTGCTCAGTCTGGCCATTAGTCTCAGGATGTCTACCTGACGACATAGTCAACTTGTGAACCTGGTATCTCGGTCACTTACAACATCCATGAGTTGTTGTCATTGTTCACTTGTGAACCTGGTATCTCGGTCACTTACAATAGTTAAGGGATGTCTAAAGTCTTTTACCCAATGGTTAAAGGACTCTCGAATTACCAAATCAGTCTTTGCTTCTGAAGGCAAAGCTATAAAAACAGCATACTTAGTGAATCTATCCACTATGACCATTACTTGCGTTTTCCCATTTCTGCTTTTCACCTTAGTATCCATGAAATCTATACAGACAGAGTCTCCAGGGCCTGTAGGGATAGGCAACGGCTTAAGTAGTCCAAGAGGCGATTGCGTGGTGCTTTTGTTTCGTTGGCATACTTGACAACCTTGCACACACGCGATACAGTGCTTTCATTCGAGGCCAGGTGTAGGAACGCAACGAAGTTCCATAGGTCTGGTGTAGGAACGCAACAAAGTTCCATAGGTCTTCTTCCACCCAAAATGGCCTTTTGTATCATGGCATTCCCCCAAGACCACACTCTTGATTTCTTCGTTATTTGGTATACAGAGTCGATCATTCACATCGGTTCGTTCGAACAATAGAACCTGAGTAACTTTATGATCAGGAAACTCTGCTGGTTTTTCTTGTACTTGCTTAATCATGGACCCATAGATAGAATCAGAGGAATATGCCTTCCTAATCTTCTCTTGTAGGTCAGCACCCACATCTAAATAAGTTACAATAGAACCGAAAAAGTCTGATATACAACTTAGTGCATCAGCAACAACGTTATACTTACCCTTTACTGGCTTTAACTCAAAATCAAACATATCAATCTCCGCAGCCCACCTTGTCAACTTAGGTGTCATTCGAGCTTGCGTTTTCATGGTCGGAGTATACCTTAAAATGCCTTCCCAGAAGATAGTGTCGCCAATGATTGAGAGCTTCGCGAAGAGCATACAACTCTCTTTCATACGTTGAGGCGGCCACTTTCTCATTAGGTAATCGACAAGACATAAACTCCACAGGTCTGTATCCATGCCCATCATCTTGCTGGAGTACGGCACCTATACCATATTGACTAACATCAGTTGTGACCACGAAAGGTAAGGAAGGGTGTCCCACCTTTAGAACCGGATAATTAATCAAACACTTTTTCAGTCGCTTGAAAGACATCGTGCAGTCTGAATCCCACTTCCAAATTACCTCTTTCTTAAGTAACCTGCGAAGGGGAGCAGCTATTATCGTAAAGTGTTTTACAAACTTACCATAGTAGTTGGCTAACCCAAGGAACGACCGCAACTCAATCAAGGTGCGGGGGTTCGGCCAATCTCTAATTGCTGCTATTTTGGCATCTTCCGGTTTGACCCCATCTCCATCAATCACATGTCCTAGGTATAGAACCTGACACTTAGCCCACTCACACTTCATTGGGTTTAATTTGAGTTTTGCTTCTCTTAGCTTATTTAGCAAAAGTCGAAGATGCTCAGTATGCTCTTTTTCACCTTTGCTGAAAATCAAAATATCATCTAGATAGATAACAACAAATTTGTCAAGCCATTCACGAAAGAGTTCGTTCATCGTTCTTTGGAAAGTGGCAGGGGCATTCGTGAGACCATACCTTGTCCTAAAGGCAGTCTTATGTTGGTCTCCCGGCTCAACCTCAATCTAATGCTAGCCGGATTTCAAATCAATCTTTGAAAATACTTTGCTACCCTGCACACGATCCAACAAATCATCTATTCGCGGTAATGGTTCGACATTCTTTACCATTATATCACTTGATCGCCTATAATCTATACACATGCGAACGCCGCCATCCTTCTTAGGTACAAAGAGCACAGGCGCGCCATAGGGCAAGGAGCTAGGTCTTATCCATCCATTTTTCAACAACTCATCGAGTTGGGGTCACAGTTCATCCAACTCCTGGGCGACATACGATAGATAGGCCCCTTTGGGGGCGCGCTCCCTGGAATGATATCAATGCGGTGTCGGATTCATCTTTCTACCACAGCACTTGGGGCTTCAGCCACATCTGCGAACTCTTTCAGGATCCTCTCAATCTCTTGAGACCTGACTTCCTCCTTAGTTTCCCCTTCCTTTACTGGGCGCACATATGCAACAAAGACTAAGTTGTGTTTCTTTACATGGCGAGCGAACGCTGGGGCATGCATGCAACAGTGGGCTCGACTGCTTTCCTTTCCAGACTCATGATAGAGGCGAATTTTCTTTTTACCTCCTTGCGGACTTGAGAGCCAACATTCATGCTCTCTCAATTTTAGATCCGCATGCGCAGCCTCACCCCAATCCATTCCTAGCAACACATCAAAGGGCAAGTTATCTTCCACCAAGAAGGTCAAAGAGTGGAGAACACGTTCCACCTTCCCCTCTGCCTCTAGCCGGAAGTATACCTGAACCCCCTCGACGTATCGATCCATAACGGTTTCACTACTATTAGCTAATTTACTTATAATGGGCTCATTTAACTTCTTAACTTTAAGCCCAAGACGCAGTTTTGCAAACCTTTCTTACTAATATAACTGCGTGTAGACCCACTATCTATCATACCTCCTACTCTTACTCGATTTATTTCCAGATCTGCAATTATTAACTGTCCTTTCTTTTTTCGCATTTCAATCCAGGCTTGGCGACAAGCTGCCAACTCATCACCCACGCCGGCGAGGGATCCATCTAGAGAGATGCATACGTTTGCCATCTCTGGACAGTGCACTAGATGGGGTCTGCCTTCCTCTTCAGTTTCTGCCATTGGGGCCTTCGAATGGGAGGATTCTGATTTTTCAACATTCAAAGCCCCGGTAGAGGCAACTGGCACCTTTATTGGTTGTTCCCTTTTGCCCCCCTATAGTCAGGGCAATAGGGGGACAATGTGGTCGGGGTCCCCACACTTGAGGCATTGGTCTGCCTTCTTTCTTTCTTGCCAGACTTTTTCTGTTATTCCCAACTCTTTCCAAGGCTCTCCTTTGGGTAGGCCTGGATGTGGTGGGTATGGTTTGTCCCACTTATTGTACCACATGCCTCTTCCTCTACCCAGGTGGAATAGAACCACGGCCACCTTGTGAAGGACCATTTCCCCTTCCTCCCACGTAGTGGCTTCCTTCACCACCACCCCTCTGGGTGTCGAATCCTCGTCCACCACGGCCGCGACCTCTCCCTCGCCCACGTCCTCTTCCTTGACGCCCTCCCCCGCGGGCTGCAACAGCCGCGTAACTCCCCTCCTGAGCTACCGGTCTATTGGGTTCATCCAGACCATAGTCTACCTGATCCCAGGAGATGGTCTCGGCGCCTCCTTCCTCAAAGGTTACAAGGAGACTGTCCTTCCCAGGTATAGACCCTGAGATAGTGCGGTTTTGCCATATTTTACCCGCTTGCAGATCCTTCCAGTAATGGCAATAGTTCGCTTCGGCGAGGAAGCTGGCGTGATCTATTGCGATCTTACCGAACTTCTCATATGTCACCCCCTCTTCTTTAGTGCGGGGATAGAGTTGTGCTCTCAGGGGATCCGGGAGCGCTCGTGCAAAGCTGTTCAAGATTTGGGCAGGCGTCAATCCATGATCCGGGCATTGTAACAGTTCGTCCATAGTTGCCTTTAATGCAGAGGTACTCTTCCATTTCCTATCAGGAAGGCTGAGGATTAACATCTCAGTGCGTCTTGCTAAATTCTTATCCTCTAATCTTTCTCTTACAGCTTTGAGGAATTCTTCGATTCGCGTTTGTTGCAAATATTCTACCATGGAGCTGCATCCCGCCTCTTTTTGTAGCGAGATGGCGAAGCTCATGGCATCGCCTCCCATGCATGAAGTTGCCATCAACACCCTGTCCGAGTATGGAATACGCTGTCCGTACACATATGTTTCGATTGCTGCCGCCCAATGCAGAACACTTTCCTCCTTTCCATTATAGGTCCACGGCAGGTTAAGTTTTATCTTGCTAACCTGCCCGGTTTCCTGAGGAAGTTTTTCTTTTGGATGCCCCCTTTTTTTCCCCTTCTTCTCGTCATCGCCATCGTCATCACCATCTCCTCCTCCGCCTCCTGCGCCCTTTACTATCTTTTCTAGGACTTCGGGGGTGAAAGTCTTAGTGACATGTTCATCCAAGGCCCTGATGCAAGTCTGGACATGCTGGTCAACGTCCTTCGCTGACTTTTCCAAGAAGTTATTCCAGACATTTTCGAATTCAACCCGATGTGTTTCCACTCTCTGTATGGTCTGCCGCATTAAAGCCATGTCCTGCCTTGTGTTGATGACAGTTTCTCTGAGGAGAGCAAGTTGTTCTTCTGCTGTAGAGGGTTTATCTTTTTGCGCTTCTAAAGCCTTCTGCAATTTTTCCCCTTCTACCTGCAACCGGTTTTTTTCTTCCAGTTCTTGCCTTCTGGCTGCTAGCATTCTATTGTTCAGTTCAGCCCTCTTTTCCTCCATTAGCAGATTCCGTTCGATTGGGTCTATCACAATGGCCAGCTTTGCGATGAACGTATTTTTTTCTTCTTCAGTTTCCCTTAGTGGCTCGCTGGAGTAATAGTACTGACCGGCCCAATCCAGTGGTTCAACTGGAAGTCTGGCCCTTGCAGTATTGCTACTCTCAGGTAAGTCCAGGCGACGACGTCTTTCCAAAACTTCTCCTTCTTCCTGTTCTTCTTTTTCTTCTTCTTCTTCTTCTTCTTCTTCTTCTTCTTCTTCTTCTTCTTCTCGTATACTCTTCAACTCTTCTTCCAATTCCTTATCCATCTTCTCTTTCATTTTTCTCTTTGCTTCTTCTTCTTTCTTCTTTTTCTTGGCTTCCTTTTCTTTTTTCTTTTCTGCCAGTTTGCGGTCAATTTCTGCTTGTTCCACAGGTGTGGGGCCAGGCTTCACTGTCCCCGATCGCATCAACATGCGGGACGTACATACCCGTCCGAACCCCAATGGGAACATCAACCGGAACAGCGGCCCCAACAAGACAGAAAGGGCCAACAGGCCCTGAATGGGATAGTCATCCATGATGATGACCGGCACAGGGGACCCTCCGCCGGATCACAACAGTACTATCCCACTTACTCGGTTCTGGATCCGCGGTGAATGGAGTACTGTACTTTTTTTTTTTGATTGTAGAAGGTGCTGCGTAGAATAAACAACAGATCAACTAAAACAAACTTACTGTTTGGATATGTATAATGTTTTTTTTTTTTATATGCTGTCTGGCTCCCTGGATCAAACCTTTGGCAATGTGTTTCTGATGTCTTGTTTCCCTTGATATATTATTATTAATTTTTTTTTAATACTAACTGGCTGGTTGTCTGATGCAGGTATGGAGTACAACGCAGAAGGTCAGATGCGGATAGTTCGCTTATCCAACCAGGCAGAAATACTTCGTTTCTTTCTTTCGGGCTTAACTGGCCCTGTAGATACTCGTCACCGTGCTTGGGCTGCTTGGTGCTTGCAATCTGACGTGGCAGGTAGCCACTTCCCACATCGATCTCTAGTCCCTGATGATGATACCCAGCCTGCCTATCGAGAGGGGTAGGAGAGAAGTCTACTCCTACTCACAGAACACTGGACCACCTAATCTAGTGTGACAAGGCCCTGACACATCGCACTTGGACCATCTAGACTCTAGGACGATCCAGATCCAGACTTCGACTCCAGACCAGCAGCAGTCACCTTCAGAGGGTCAGAGAGAGMRAAGGTAGGGGACACAMACATACATGCAGGTTCAGGGAAAGGAGGTGCTTCTCTCTTCTTGAAGATGCCGCCGATGATGCTCCACGACGCTCCGCACGCTCCAGGTAAGTAACTCTCACCTCTTCTTCTTCGGCCTGCTTCCCCCACCATCCAACACCTCTTCTCTTCCTCCCTCCTTCCCTCCTTCACTTATTCTCCATCACCACTTCTCGCCAACCTTGATCATGCCAGCGCTATGAGTGCAGCGAGCATCTGCTCCGATACCAAATTGCATGGGTCCTGGGGACCATCTCACGCAAGTGTGTATATGTCGTGCATCATACTCGCACACAATGATCAGTAGTCTCACACGATAGACAAAGGTAGATGAGAAGAAAACTGAGTTTCACAACTTATATTATCAAAAATATGATTACAAAGAGTTCCATAATTCCCTGAGTCCAGCGCTCAACAGCGCAATGCCATTCCAGCATCAACTCGTCAACATGACTCCCAATACATCAGCGCTACTGTTGCAGATTGTCTCCAAGTCATCAATGTGGTCACTACTCATCAGCGCCACCTCTGCAGCTCACAGCCAACTCAGGTAAATATCTTCCATAGCCAAGCCTTGAATGAACACTCTCTGCCTCGGTCCCTTCCTCCTACGATGCATACACACTCTTTACTCGTGAGGATCCACTCTGAATACTACTCATAGCTGTCTACTACTAACACCCTACTACTAGTACTAACTCGCTGGGCAGCTATGGCTGCATCACTTCCAGCGTACAGGCTTCTTCCCTCACTCAGCGCATCTTCATCCTCCAACGCTGCTCCTCCTGACTTAGCGCACAAGTGCACCAGCACTTCCACGCAGAAATGGCCAGTGGAGATCTGGCAAGGAATGAGGCTGGCTGCTTTCTTTATAGTGCTGGCCTCCCCTCGCTGGGTCTGCATTGGCTGCTTCAGGCCTTCCTTTGTCCCAGACCCTGCATTGCATGTGTCCCAGTACAGTCCCAATGAAGTTCAGCTGCTGTTGAGGCCTTTCGGCCTAGATTTGGACTTGAAAGTCTGGATCTGGACTGCCCCCTTGACTTAGACCAGAACTGGGACTTT